CTCTATTTTAGTTCTTTAGTTTTGTCCAGGTGTATCAATTTCCAAAGACTGGCAAGCATCAGTTCTCTGTATTCAAAAGACTGAATTTTTGAAGATTTTGAACCTTAGAAGTTACAGAACTTGCTGCTTCAGGTATTTCATCTTGACGTTTTGTCAGAAGTCTAAAAAGTTATGCTTTGTTTCTTGAGTTACCTGTAAGGGACATAGAGTTCTCCCAAGAAACCTGTATTTGTAAGGATTTCTGGTGGATGAAAATGATTTTTTTGAATGCAGAGTAGTCCTCACAAAGCTCCTTGAACCATTTGCTTTCTCATTCTTACTCTTCACTTCTTTTCTTCATCATGTTTCTGACGTGGTTATGACAATGTTAAGATTGTTGGAAGGATGGTGTCTCTGACTTCTCTGGAGTTTTCTTCTGAAAACTTTTTCTTCTTGGAACTTGTCTTTTCCTGGGATTTCATCAAAGACCATGGTACTGTTGAGCTTATGAGAAAAACCCTTCAAAGAGGAGTGCATGTTGCTCCCTCTCTCTCTGCATTAGTGCTGGAAGAGTGTTCATGCTTTCCTAAACATTTGCACAGAGATTTAGCTGGGCAGGAGCCCCTGGACTTTAGTGAGAATTGCTGTCCTGTGACAGTGTTAACACAGTGTCACACTAATAAACTGCAGGACTTGCTGGGATGTGTCCCTCTCCTATTAAAATATATATTGATATAAAGTAATATTTCTCTCCACTGCCATCTAGTGAAGTTGCTATGCTCTGTTAAGGCTTTGAGACTCAGCTGGGCATTTTGGTAATGAGTACAACAAAGTCCAGTTCCCTGCAGAGAGTCTGAGATTCATCCCTGAGGTAACAGCAAACACTACAAAATAAAGGAGGTACAATAAATTTAATCATAGAATTCTGTCAATAGCTATGATGATAGAAACAGTGAAAGTATTTGTACATGTTTGTCAGCATTACAGAAGTGATTGGCAACACCTAGATTCAAGTTGTAAAGAAAGCAAGCACCAAAACCTCTGCAGGCTGGTGGAATGGTGTAAAATCAGGCATTTTTGGTAAAAATCACACAGGTCCCCTGGGGGTCCAGATCTGCTGCCTCCAGTCTGTATTTTCAAGCCTGCAGAGTGATGCCCACCAAAATCCTCAGTAGATTTTCAGCCTAGAACTCGAATGACACTTGTTAAAAAGAAATGTTGGAGTTTTTCAGCAATGGCCAGCTTGTGTTGGGCCACACAGGGAGGCTCTGACAGCAGTGCTGGGAGGGCACCAAAGGGCTCATGCTGTGAGCACATTGCACCTCTCCATTTCTGTTCAGCTCAGGGGCATTGATTTTGCTTAAAGATCCTTGGCTATTTTTGTAACACACAAGTAGGTCAGCCCATCACTTCCTGATAGTGGAGATAGCTAAAATAGGACATACAGATCTGAAATCATTATTCTCTTCATGTATCATTTAGTGAACAAAATCTCTGTCCTAATATTCATGTGAAGTCATCTTAAAATCACAAGCTGTTCACAATGCAAGAGACTGAAATAAAGTTGAGAAAAGAGATAATATCAGTAATATTTAGAGGAAGAAAAAAAATCCAGACAAGTGCCAACCATGGCTGAAATGTGTGTTTCCATTGCCATAGATGTGCAGTGTCTCTGCACTCTGAAGTGCCATCTTTCCACTTGAGTTTCCCAGGCATGAACATCCCAAATTCCTACAGATCTGTCAATCTGTGCACTTCCCTCTGTAGCTGTAGTAGCAGTGTGGTGATTTGCTTGTCTGTTTTTTACTTTCCTTCTAGCAGACTTAGCACAGAATCTATTGGGCAACATTTAAAGACAAATGATGTGAGTATCCCTCAGCTCTAAGTGAATTATACATTACCTTTGAACAGAAATGAAAGGTGACTTCATGTTTTAACTTGGGGTTGGCTGCTAAAGTTTGTGCTTCCAGGTGGGAACTGTACATGTACAGCCTTGCTGAATTTTCCAAAGCTGTTTAAAGGAAGTAAAACAAACTGGTCATCTGGCAAATAAAAGACAAATGCAGGGTGGAGTAAGTTTATTATTATTATAATGATTTATTTTGTAGCTAAGCCTTTGTAAGGTCTTTCATTGAATCGTGTCATAAATTGTAAATTACAGAACAAATTTTTTAACTTGGTTTGCTAAAATATGAGAAATTCAGGAACCTTTGAAAAATCTGGAGCTTGTAATTTGGAATGAGTTTGCTCTATTCAGTAATTGGAGCCGTGTTTAAAGAAAAGGAAAATCCTTTATTTTACTGAGGAAAGGCTCAATAGGATTGAGTTGTAGCCACTACTCCCCAACCAAGCTGAGTGACTGAGAGAGTTGTTGTTTTACCTGTCTCTTGAGGCAATGAATAAATCTTAAATAATAAATAAATCTTCTAAATCATCTTAAATCACAGTCTACCCAGGCATATTTACAGAGTGCCAGGGCAGCCAGGCAATGACCATGCTGCTAATTATAAGTAAGCAAACAGTTTGGTTCATTGGCAACTTCAGCACTGATCTTTTTTTTTTTTTTTCCATTTCGTTTTATTTCCAGCCAATTTGCATTTAAACTTCTTTGTTCAAGGAGTCCCCTTCCTAAGTTATAAAGAATGACATTTGAACATTTAATTGCATAGTGCCATAATACTTAGACTTCATTTTTATTGAAAAAAAATACAATTCTAAGTAGAAAACTTTAACCAGTGCATTTTCTTTAATTAGAATTTCATCCAAAATGTTGCAAGGGGATGTCATGGAGAGATTATGGTTCCTAAGCAGCCCTGTTATCAATAAGCTAAGAAAGTACATTAGGAACTTAGACATATTAAATGCATGAGGAAGAAGAAAAAAAATTGAATTACTATGGTCTTTTCAACCAGAATTTGAATTCCTGGTTTTGACATTGCTGGGTAAGGTTGTAGTATTTAAAAGTTCTCTTTTGTTCTTTCCATGATTGTTTGTGTTGGACCTCACAGACTCCAAGCTTTTTTTGTATTTCCCCAAAAACCACCAGAGCTTGCAGATATCCCAGTGGGATGTAAATTGCCTTGATGTCCCATGGTCAAAAGCAGCGTGGCAGATGCAATGGCACATCCCCTTTGGAAAAGCAGCAAAAAAGAAAAGCTGCAGGGGTTCAAAGCCACAGAGGATTGGGAGCAATAGAGGAGGGATAATCCAGAGCAGTTTATTGAGACACAGGAAGGTTGAAGATGGATGACATCCCTAGTTTTGCACAGTGTTCCTTCCACACATACTATGAAATCCAGACTGGAAAGGGAAGGTAAAATACTGTAGGATGTGCTGAATGTGGCTTTGCACTGACTTCCAGTGCTGTCATCATTTCATTGCAGTATTGTTTTTAATTCCATCTTGTAAAAATGTTGTGTTGAAAAGGTAAATCAAGTTCATCAGGTATACGAATATGCAGGACTAGTGCAGTTGGATTTGATAAAGCAATACCAAAGTTTCTCATTGTGCCAGCAAATCCTATTTCCACAAGAGAAAAAAAGATTATAAAGAATGGGATGTCAAGAGTAGTCTTTAAATAGTTTTCCAGTAAAAAATGTATGGATTTTACTTCTAGTCCAAAGTAACATAGAGCATCTGCAGAAGTGGCTTGTTTTCTCAAAGAAAAATTCCAAAAGAGGTTTTTGCTGTTGAGTTATTGATTTGATTTTTCTTAGAAGTCATCCTGGCTGTTTTATCCTCTTTTCCTGCTTTCCAGTCAGGTAGCAATTGCATTGCACCTTCTACACAGGGTTTCCATTTTATGTCAAAATGGTGCACATTAAAATAAAAACACTGGGAGAAAAATGTAAGTTACAAACACTGAAGGTGATGCTGTCACAGAGTCAGGCCCAATATCCACCTCAGCCCTAACCTCATATCCTAAAACCACCAAGAGTTAACACTTGGGAAGAGTGTAAGTATTCCCAGGCAAATAGTGGTAAAAAGAAAGACTCCTAGGGAAATTAATTTGCAGTCTGCCTATCTTAGCCTCTCTTGGTGGACATCACTTAAAAGTAATAACAATCACTTGGTATTTGTAGAGAAGAGCAGAACTCATCAGCCATAGATTATTGTGCAAATTTATTTACAGTTTTAATTTTCTTTCCATTTGCTGAAAGAGTAGAATGATTAAGTAAAACCTTTGAAAAAACAAATGAGTATTTTTTTTTCCCAAGGAGAAAGCATAGAGATATTGCTAATAAGGCTGCATTCCTTTGATGTCAGGCCTCATGCTGCATAAACTTTATGGACCTGTCATTAGTCCTTGTCAACTCTTAGGGTCTTTTGGCTTGGGGCCAAACAATTGATATAGTGGAGAGCTTCCAGCTAAAATAACAGCCTCTGCATCTTTATCTTCCCATCCATCAGATTGTTGGTGGAAGAGATAGGGCTAATTTGTCACTCTACCCACTTGGAAAAGTGTGATAAATGGCTTAATTAGAAATTTTCTTCTTTTTATTTATTTTTTTTTAAGAAATAACGTTTCTTGAGAACTAGAGATTGGGAAAACAAGGACTAAGGATTGAATTAGAAAAGGAAAATATTTTTTCTTCAGTACAGATCAGAGGAAACACAACCATTATACAGTCAGGAGAAGTGGAAAGAATACAGTTTTTTGGAAGAATTCTCAAGGACAAAAAACCCAAACCACCCTAACACATAAATGATCTGTGGGCTGTGCAACTGCCCAAAGACTGTGTCAGACCAGTCTCTGCAGAAACATTCACCTGCAGAGTGCCTTTTTAAACATGCTGCCCCCCAAAATTACAGTGCTTTTGTGTTCACAACTCCAGAAAAGATAGCCAGGCAGCTTTGTAGCTAAAAGAACATCTAAATAGAGAATGAACTAACTCTGTGTGATGCTTTTCCTATCTTCCAGCAGGCCACTGACACGAAAGGGAGCTGTGCTTCCCAGGAGGCTCCTGGGGTTAGTGCCTACACCACTCAAAGCCAGGCCTTTGCTTCAAATCTCATCCATCACTTTTGGGATAAAAAGGGGGCTGCTCCAAGGCCATGGATCAAGGACTGAGCAAGTCCAGGTCACAGTTTGTAATGTTCCTGCTCAGGACATGCTAAAGGTAAAAGGATATTTGCATTTTGTTCTTTGCTTGAGGTAGTTTTGTGACTTATGAGTCAAACAACTTACATGGATTTCAGTCATTGGTTTTGATGCTTTTCAAACTTTAAGGAGAGAGAAGCTGAGTAAAAATCTTCTCTTGGCTGTTGTTTCCACCATTGTGTTTGGATAATTATCCTTCCACTTTGCATAATTATGGCATGCATTCCTACATGTGGATGTATTGGTGACAGCTGCCCATCTTAACATGTTAGAGATGTCTGGGCTTTGCATTGCTAAGCATCTTTTTATGTAACTATTTCATTTGGGTCACTGAGGGAATATATTTCTCCTTTTTTTCTGATCCAACATAAATTAATAAAGCAAGAGACAAACTGCATCCTCCTTTTTTTGATAAACTGCCCAGAAATTGGATGCAATTCAGAAATAATTTAAAAACTCTCTAACCTCTGGGCAGAAATTTATAATAGTAAGGAAAAGAGAAACATTTTTCAATTAAAAAGATTTAGAATCCCTTTCTCTGTAGAACACTAATCTGAAATGACACTGAGGGGTAATAGGCCTGGTATTAGTGCTTCCCCAAGGAAATGTCTTATCTTTTGCACTAAATTAATTGTGTCTTTCTCACACATCCTAAAGCTGTCAGTTTGGGCGTTCTGTGTAAGGAAGCTCATGATTTAAAGTTTCTGAGAAGAAAGGCAAAACAAAAGTGTTTAAACAATAATGACCTCTTATGCCCCAATCTCCAGGACCCATTCTGAAGACGATAGCTGTTAGCATTAAATCATTCCCATTCCTGGCAAAGTCATAAGGACAAGTTGTGGGAGCAGCCTGTGTGTGGGTCAAGTCCTGGAGGTGTGATGTGCAAGGGCACTGCAGCAAATGACAGGACAAAGTGGGGGTGGGTTGGGATAACACAGAGGGCTGGCAAGGGCACCCCTGCAGAGTTCAGTTCCAATCAGAAACGATCCCTCCTGACTCCTTGGTGGCCTCTCCAAGACCAAATAATGCGAATGCCACGTGGGAAGGATGCTCTGTTCCTCCGTGTCAAGGTCACAGAAATGGGACCTTGGTGACCCAGTGCCAGCTGGCACGGCCTGCCAGGCAGGATGGGGCAGCTCCACCACTCACTGCCCAGCTCCAGTGCCAGGAACACGAGTTCCTGGAAGTGTGGGTGCAGGTACCTCACAACCCCTGGGAGCTGGGGTTTGGTCCCTTCCCTGCAGCAGTTTGTGTGAGCTGCTGACCCTCCCCAGAAGCCTCATCTGGGCTCTCTTGGCTTCTTCTCCATTGCTGCCTTCACCCAGGCAGGAGGGCTGCCCTGGCCCCAGCTCAGCAGATGTTGTTTGCAGAGCCAGTGTTGCAGGAAATTCCCCCTGTGCTGTTTCTGAATCATCCTGCTGGTGCCATCAGTTGCCAAGTGCCCTCTGTTAATGTTGGGAGATCAGAGCTCTAAGGTTGTGTTTGTCACTGTGGGACATCCTTAATTTAACAGGGAAAAAAAGGATGTACAAAGGCACCTCATGCTTCCATGAGCTGTGTAATGGTGATGGCTGGACCAGCTGCTCTGGTGAAGCTGTTCATGGACAGGATCTGCTCCCAAGACAGGAATTGCCCATATCCCTAATGAAGTGAAGATAAATTGTATTTACAGCTTTAGATCTTCAATAGGAAATCTGATTTATCTAACTGTAGAATCTAAAAGTTCACAAAGTGGCTGCACATTGGGACATGAAAAGTGCATTTACAGGATTATTTTTTGCATTGAAGAGAAATCAGGCATTTTCTTCTGTATAAAGAAATGTCTTGGACATGAGGAAGAAAAGGAATATGTTAATCCCTGTGTTAGTGATTTGCTATTTTAAAGTAAGTAAATACATCCAATATGTTTTACTTTATTTTAAAAGTAAGAACTGTCAGAAATAAAACTCTCTAAGTCTAGAGTAATTCTTTTTGATTTAGAGCCAGTTGTGGTTATTAATGTATTAAATGAATTCAATATGTTTTGAATTGCTTTGCCACTTGGTTTTCTTGGAAACTAAAACCATTTGTAACAGAACAGTTGGACTGATTCTAAGTCAGACCAGTGTGTAAGATCATGTGAAACTAATGGTGCACTTCAGAGCACCAAAAAGCAATCTTCTGGACTAGATAAAGGACAATTATTAGAAACCAAACCTAAAACTCTTCAGGTACTTGGAAAAGAAAAAGAATTCTCTACACTTTCATCCTATGATTTGCAATTTTAAAAAAGCTCAACTCAATTTAAAGGAAACTCAAGGGTCAGGATGAGATTTCTGCACACACAGAGCAGCCAGGAGAGCTGGCAAGAGTGGACTGGAAGTAACTTGAAGTTGTGCAGCAAGTCTGCTGTAAATCCAGACATATTTACAGTTTTCAATCTGCTTAAATGTGTGTGGTAGGTGATCTCACAAGGTGTTGCTTCATTTATGGATTAGATAGTTCCCAAGAATTGAGAGAAATGAACTTGTTCTTTTCAAGCTGTCAGGTGTCTTTTTTTTTTTTTTCCTAGTGGTTTACTACACATAGAACAGGCTCAGATTCTTTTTTACAAGCACACTTTTAATACCTTTTGCAAAATGCTTGTAAATCTGCCATCAGTTTGCTTGTTTATACATGTGACTTTAGAAGAACCTGTTACATGTAAGTAAAGATGAATCAATAGTTCCTAACCTGTGCAAATCACTGTGCAGAAATCATCTCTAGCAGTTTCTCCTAAGGCATGAAATGAAGCATGCTTTCAATACTTCATCTTACAGTAGACTGAGTTTTATTCAAACCAAAGTATTGAGAGTTTTATTTAGAGCCTGAGCTGAAATCTGTACTCTTAAACTCTTCATGAAATGCTCAGCAAAATTGAGTTTTCAATACAGGTTTTCAAAAATGTTGCCTTCATTTTTCTCCAGTGGAAAAGGTTAGACTAAACAGAAGTAAAGGGTCAGATTTATGGGAGTGTAAAAAACCTTACAAATGAATCCCAGGTGGAGTTCAGTCATGAGCAAGGGTTTCAGGATTGTCCCTCCAGTGAGTGTGACAGTAACAGACCTTGTAGTTCCTCTGGCTTCATCTACTCACCAATAGATAGAATTTCTGCCTGAAATCTCTAGTCCATTACATAGTATTATAAATTAAATTAACTACATTGTCTTTTCAATGCAGATTCCAGTTGTCCCTGGACTCACCAGTGTAATGTAAGAGGGAAGCTCAGTGATGAGGGGATATAAACCCAAGGGCCAGGACATAAAGCAGAGGATATGATATGTATGTAAAATGGTTTATGTATGTTTGCTTTGATCTTTAAATGTAAACCTAATGCTTATCACAAGTCAGTGATTGCTTGCCAGAACCAGATTTGCCTTGCACTGTAGCATCAAACTTGAGGCAATGAGAGCAGCATGAAAAACAGCTTGGCAGAATGAAAAACAGTTTCCAAGTTCTTAATGCCTTGGACTTTCTTGGCTTTTCTTTGCCTGTAGAACCAGAGGTGAACATATCATCCTTTCAAATTGCTTTGATAAATCTCATTCCCTTTAGGATTAAACATTCCTGAATATTTTTATGCCTCATCGAGCTCTTTCAGAGAAACAAAAATTAATTCTTTACCTCAACATTTATACTCATAAGACCGAATTCCCCTTGCCTGTAGTTATTGTAACCATGGCCATTTGTGCATAGTTATCACACTGTTACTCTCCTGCCTGCTTTGTGCACTTAGATTTTATGTACAGAGATTTTATGTGGCTCTGAGCAGTGGGAAATGACACGGCAGGGGTGAGTTGGATGGGTAGATGTCAAACATCGATTTTGGATGCAAAACCAGGACACTTCCCTCCATTCTGTGCGTGCAAAATCAGGCTTAAGCACTAAATACTTGACTTTGGGTATCTCAGCTGAATCCAGGCTAAGCTGAACACATAGAGACAAGAGTTAGCACCTCACAAATACTCACAAATATTTGCAAAGTCATTGGCACAGCGTGACTCAGCTCTCCTGAAGTGATTGGGCCACCTGATTTATACCTTTGGAGGGCACCTGGAAGAGGTGAACAGGGACACAACAGATGGGGTTTTGAATGGCTACCCTGTGGCTCCTTTGGAAGGATATCTTACCCAGCCACAATCCTTGTGGTTATCTGGCCTTCAGTCTTTGCAAAACAATTTTCTAAGGTGGCTGAGGTAAAAAAGTAAGAATTTTGTGAACAGCTCAGTTTTTCTATGATGACTTTGCTATGAGATGGCTGATGTGAAACTATTCTCCTGTATTCCTGTTTGCCTGTCTGACAGGCAGCTCAATCAAACCTGTGTATTTACACAAGCAGCATGAACAGTTCATCTGCAGTATTCAACATCTGTGTAGCAGCTTAGAGCAGGGAAACAGGTGACAAAGTGTGTGAAGGTGATACAGATTTGATAGAAGGTGAATTTTTGTCCCAGCAAACTTTTGTTAGAGATCAGTGCTCAAGAGGAAGGAAGGAACGATCCATCCCAGCTCAGACAAAGCCTGAAGCACCTGTAAATTGGTTGAATAATTCATTTTTTCCTGTGTAATCTTAAATTACATATCTTGGTAATGCTGCAGTTTGAAAGGGTGAGATGGCACACCAGGAAATATGACCAAAAAAATCAAGTGAACAGGAAGAAAAGCACATTTTCTGCTTCAGATGATGACTGTTTTACAATAAGACTTTAAAATAGGCTATATCCTTTTTTCTTTCCTATGTCCCATAAACAGGTGAGGAATTCTCTGCTTGAGGAACAAGGCTTTCTGTGTGATACAGCACTGAAGTGCTGAGGTGCAGCAAAAGCAGTCCACAGATGTGAAATAAATCTAATTTTCCTTTTCCATTGGACTTGCTGTTTGGCTGCTGAGCAGCCCTCCTGTAATCAGACAAATAAAATTGCACCCTCATTTCCTTTAGTGACAGGGAGTGCTAAAGGAGGTCTCTGCCACTCTCAGGTTAATTTAGATGATCATCCAAATGCACAGATGTTTGTTCCAATCTCCTCCTGTAAAGGAAGTGGGACATTTCCAGTACTCTGGACAGGGCAGGATCCATGCAAAAATGCTCTTCCTTGCACAGCAGAATTAGCTCTGGCAAGGAGTGCAAAAAGGGGAAAAATATATTAAAGTAGTCTGCAAATTTTTTTTTTCCAAATGGCATTATTTGGGGATTAAAATCAGAAGTTTACATTATCTGTTATTTTGCTTAAATTAATATATACATTTCTAACTTGTATATTTTTGCATAGTATGGATCTAATTAAATTTGCAAGCAGATCAGTAATTCCAAATGAAGTTAGACAGAGGTGACCCATAATACTCAACTTGAGTGCTTTCATATACTGGCTCCCTATTAGATTTCCTGTAGTAATCTTAGAATTTAAAGTACCAATGTCTTTATGTTCATACTTATGAGTTAATTATTTTGACTAAAATTCAATCACATTTCTTTTCCATTTATTATCAACTCAATGTATTACATAGTAAAACTGACCTCCTAAACCTTCCCAGGTAAAAACCAATTAATCAAAACAAACTAAGAGCAAGTAAAGGTGATTTCAATAGCAGAGTTTTCTAGCAATTTAATTCTGTTGCTTTCAGAATTATATCTTTGGTATTATTGTCCTTTAAAAATTGAACAAAATACTAACCAAGTTGAAAAAGTTCAGCAAAAGCAAAGGCTATTGAAAGCTCCATATGTAAAATGGTTCAAGTGTCCTTTGAGAAACTTTATTCTGGTGTTCACATACATTAGCCCTCCTATTATAACTGTATTTTGGGGGGAAAAAAACGAAATCACCATTTGGGAGCTGTATTTCCTCAGGTAACGTTGGTAAGGCCCATAAAATTCCTCCTGCTTAAGCCAATGTAATCTTGTGAAATCTGTAGGCAACCATGAAGCATTTATGAAAATGTGGTGCCTGCACAGGTCTTTGTGTGGTGAATGCCAGAAGTACCACCATGTACAGGAAATATTTTTTAATATTGATGAAAATGGAAAAAAAAAACCCAAGCTCAGCCAGATTTGTGCCCCAGGGTTGGAATGTGAACACTCACAATCTCTCTTGGCTATGTCCAGCAGTGGAGGATGGGGAGGTCAAGAAGTTCCCAGGCTGTCAGTGCCCCTGGCTGCCCTCATGTCTGGCAGTCATCTTCCTGCCTCTTCTGTGTGGTAAGAAAGGATAAAATTCCAGTTTAAGAGAGAAAATTGAGTTTCAGGTAGACCAGCACTTCCCTCCCTGGTGGTGGAGGAAGCAGCACCAAGGAGTGAGTGATTCCACCCACAGCCCAGCCTTGTGTGTCTGTTCCTGTCCCTCCCCACTGGAGGCAGAGGGAGGAGGGATGGGAGGTTAATCCAGGTGCTTCTTTTTTCTATGTTTAAATTAGGAAAAATGAATCTACCTTAGCTGACTTCCCCAGCAACACCCACAGTGCTTAGCTGGGGCGTGATTAACTATTCCATCTGCTGGTATCCCAATTACAGATACTGTAACAATGGCTTTTGTCCTGCTGTATGACTGTGGGAGGAAAAGACAAAGAAAATTAGGCTCAGCAGACACAAACAATAAGGGGGTGGGGGTTTTTTTGTGCCTAGTTGGTTTTTTTAACCTGTTAAAAAAGCAGTGTGTTCTGCTTGTCCTGGAATGCTATTCTCAACCAAAGTCTTAGTTTTGAAAATTATAAGTTGTTTAGCTCTTTCTGTCTTCTAATTGCTTAATTTAGTTCAGTTGTAGCTCCAGAGTTCTTTATGAATTTTATAAGGAAAAAGAAATCTTTCTGCCCTGAATTGAAACACCCGACCTCAGTGCTGCTTCTCTTGTGAGCAGTGGTGCCATTTGTGCAAGAGAAGTGATGAATGAAAATGTGATCCTGACTTCAGGACTAGTGACATCTGCACTGACACAGTGTCTTGAGAGAATAACAGCAAAGGCTGGCACATCTCCTGCAATATATTTAATTAAAATAACCAGAATAAATACCTAAAAATGCCACCACGTTATTAATAAGGTGTCACCAATGAATAACTGAAATTCCCACCTCCTTGAAAAAGAGAGGTTTTGTAGTTGAGACACAATTAAATCATAACTATCTTTTACACAGAATGAAGTATTTCTGTTGAAATGACTGCCTGGGCTCCAGGCACACTGGCACCAAGGAGCAGGCATTCCTTACTTCTCTGCTGGTGCTCCAGCTCTATCTGGCCTAACAGACAGGATGGAGTCTGGCCTGCAAAGTTATCATTATAATGTCAACATAAATATAATTACATTTTCTCCAGCAGTGGAATTAGTGCCACTAGGAAACAAAATCATTTCAGGTTTCTCCTGCTGTGTTTGTATGAGCTTGGGGTCTAACTGCCAACCAGGGAAATTTGGCCTTTGTGCTCAAATAATGCAATGCTGTGCTTTCCATTTGGAGATGAAATTACTACTGGTGGGATTTGTGATATAGAAAAAGAATTTGTGTTGCTAAATCTTTTGGTAGATGAGGCTGTTTTGTCTCACCACATAAAGACAGTTATTTACAAGGCCATGCATACCCAGATGCACAGCTAGAGCTTATGTGCATGTGTGTGTGTGTGTGTGTTGGTTTGGGATGTCTTTTTAGGAACATTAGTGTGATGTGCATCATTGTAAGTGCAATTTTTATGGAGAAGGATATGAGCCTCCAGGTACCTATTTCCTGTCTCTCTGAGTGCACTCATTTTGTAAAGTTCTGGAGGTGGATGAAGGATCTCAGCAGTAAGCCCTGGGATGCTGCTCCCTACATCTCATTGCAGACCCAGGTGGGCCCTGCTAAGGATTTCCTGGCATGCCATATGCCCACATTTTTCCTGGGGAAAGCAAGGATTGGATATAGGAAAGGGGAAGGACTTGGTTAACCACACTTTTATTCTGTGTTTTAATGTACCAGTCAGTTGGGAAATAAATGAATCACTGGAGATTCCTGGAGCATTTCTTGTGCATCAAGAGGTTGGCTTTTCCCTCAGCATCACAGAATTAGTTTGGAGTGATGGTGACGAGCTAATTCTCCCTATAATTGTGCCTCCTGTGCCAATATTGCTGTGTTCCCAAAAACGGTCTCAAATGAGATAAAATCAACAAACTGAAGCCAATTGCTCTTACACATAGCCTTAAGCCTTTTTTCAAAAACTCTGAAATGATACTGCAGGATAAGTATTGCAGCTGCTGCTTCAGTGGTGTCCAAGTGCAGTGATTTAGAGCAAAGCCTACATGAAAGCAATGGGAAATTTGTGCTCAGTCTTGCTGGCCAGCTGGAGTCCAGGTGCAAATCAAGCCCTTGTGCTGCCCTTATTCAGGGATAACAGCACAAATAGGGTGAGGGTAGGTTGGCATTTTAGGTCAGATCAGAAGGGCACTTCTGAAGCAAATTTCCTGATTTCTCCCACTTACCATGCTTTTCTTGCATCTCAGGTCAGAGCATAGGAACTGGGCTTTTGGATGAAACCATCATGAGAGGTACTCCAGGAGCACACTTCCTAAGCTCCAGCCATGGGGCTAGACTGGAAAATTCAGCCACATGTGTGGTGTGGATGTGGGGTCCCCACTACCAGCTGTGTTTCTGCTCCTGTTTAGCTTTCCAGTGTAGGTAGAGCCATCTGACACCCAGCTAAAACACTAGTGCATTACAGACTCTCATTTTGACTAAATTGGAAATTGAAATAAGTAGTAGAAACTTTAAAATAATGCATTTCTCATCCCAAGTGATTTAAACTCGAGGCTTTCAACTCTTTAACACAGCTTCTTTCTTCTCCTCCTCAGCTGAAGAAGCAGCTCTGCTTTTTAGACTCTCCACTACCATATCCATGTTAAAAAGAAACAAGCAACTCTTTTTCATTATGACTTACATACCAAAATGGCTTTCTTACTCCTAGGTAGAATTAATCTTGTCTTTAATTACTTTTATAGCAATTACATGCTTTTAATCTGTGGTTTAGTGATCTATTGCTTACAGCTGCAGTGAACAAAAAACACATAGGCTGGGGGAAACACATCCCCTGTGTAAAGTGGCCACTGTAGGCCTCTTTTAAATTATACCAAGCTTCATGAGTTAAGGCCTAAGTAATTTTCAGGATTTGAACAAATGAGGATATTTCAGTCAAGGACATCATTGGCAACTCTTTATTGAAAATGTAAAGATGTAAAGCCCAAAATAACTTGTCCCAGAAAGCTTAAGATCACAAACTTAAAGGATTGTGTTCAAACACTCTGTACTGGTTTTAATCTTCCTCCTGTTTTTTTCTCATTGCAAGTGGGTCAGATTACTCAGGATAGGAGAAATTAATTCACAAACTTCTTAGGTATCTGGATTTAAAATTTTAGTTGGACCAACTTCTAGTGTGCAAAAAGTGTACACTTGTATTTCTCTTCCCTCCTGAACATCTGAAGATGACAGTATTAAAAAATTAGTCCTCAGAGCATTATTATCCACTTCCAACTGATGGGGCACAAAGAGATTTGATGGCTTTTTCAATACACTGTGGTAAAGCTAGGAAAGGAATCCAGATGTCCTGGTTCCTCATCCTGTCCCTGAACCACAAACCACACATCCCTGCCTTATTAGCGACAATCACAGCACATGAAAACAGACTATTTATATCTAAATATTTCATCTGTTCTCACTCATTATTCCCTAACTCACCAATGTAATTATGCTGGCAGGGCGACAATCTCTTTTTTTCCCAGTAAGAGCAAACAGATTGTTAGGTTGTCTGCTGAGATACAAGCTGCACAAGAAGAACTCCCAAATAAATCAGATCAAAAGGACCACTTGTTTCCATTGAAACATCCTTGGTCAGGCAGCAGTGGGAGAGATTTCGTAACATCTTCCTTGGCTGAGTCAAACAGCTGCATTAAAAAGCACTGATCAAGAAAGGTTAACTTTGAAAAGAATATTATCCCAGAATAGGTTTAGCCAAAGAGAGGAAAAAAAAAATTCCAATAAAAAGGGGCTTTGGAAAGTTGTGGGTTTTGAACGTTATGCAATATTTAACAGCCCTCAGAGTTTACATAACATGCGGCTTTGGATAAAAAAATAAGATGGTCTGTGCAAAATAGATCCAAGATTCACATTTCATAAATATCATTAGAAGTTGCTTCAGTGATTACATATTCTCTGATTAGCAGAAATAATGCTTGTTCTGGTAAAACACTTGCTTCCATGTATGGGGAATATCAGTGCATCTTGGGCAGAACACAAAGCTCCTTGAGAATTTCTCTGCCGAAGTCAGTGACACCACATTTCTCTCTGAATAAGGCAGGCACCTCACAGGTCTTGACAGTGCTTGGGCTGCCTCATCCTGAAGTGGCAGCTCCACTCTGTGTCCCAGATGCAGACATTATAGACAGATAATGTGCATAATCACAGTCCTTTTATGTGCATAATGTGCATAATCACGATCCTTTTAATTTCCCAATGACATGCAGGAGTGAGGTTGTGTTTGTTAGCATTGTACACTGCTAGTTCTGCTCAATAGGATACCACAGTTCATTGCCACAAAATTTCAGGTTCCTAATTCCAAGCAGACTTAGAGCAAAGGCTGAGAGCATAACATGGATTCATAATGTTCAGATTTCAAAAAGCAACCCCCAATTAACAGCAATGTTTTGGCTGGGATTTTTTTCTCTGCTGATCACGTGCTTCCAAATGTAAGCCTGAGAAATCTCCCCTGCAGTGGAACACGACCAGTGATATTTGAGAACACTGGAGGGAGAAAGCAGCTCAAGAGCACCGTGTTTTCATCTCTTACTAAGTCAGAAACTCTCCACTGTGCATGTGCTCTTCTGTTTTCTGTTGGCCAGGGTTTGGTGACTCTGTACAGCCCCACTACAGTTCTGAAACCCTCTGTTGTTTAGCACCACGAGTGAAATGGGCACCATAACCTCTGTGTGGCCCTGGAGCTGCACAGGAATGATTTCCTGCTCTCTGCAAAGGAAGATGCCTTCAGATTCTGTTAAATGATAACAAATAAGGAAAAGGAGGCCTCCCCTAGTTCTAGCAATCCTATCCCTCCCACTGGGCTTTCCTAGAGGTGGCAGAGTTGAAACTCGCAGGTTTTATTTTCAGAGCATGGTCATTTCTCATTTTGGTATTTTAAAGTAAACAATCCTTGGTTCCCATGTATTATTCAAGTCGAGAGAAGTGGGTATCCAGTGCACAGATAATCAAACATCCAGCCTGCACCAGACAACCTTCTCAAATCGCTTGAGAAACTTCCCTATTGCTGTTGTTATCATTCTCCATCCACTTCCTCCAATTATCCAGCACTTCAAACATTACATCCCATGTTTTCCCCACAGCTGTGGGGTGAAGAAAGCAAGAGCTGTGTTCTTCCAGCTCCCCTAACAGTGCTTGCCCACAGGAGAAGAGAGGGAGCTGCACAGATGTTGCTGGTATCACATTAATACAGAAATAACCTGTTGAAAGTAGATTTGTTTTCAAACCTTTCAGTAAGAAAATACCAGTTTCAGACTGAGGAATTAATGATTTTAACCTGCCTATCAAGCTCTTTCATTGCCAGCATGTAAAATCGTTATTGGTGTTTCAAGTTGCAAGTAGTAATGTTGAGGGTATTTTCACTGCTGCCAAAACATTTACATGAAACTGCTATTCAGATCAAATTATCTTGAAACTGCAAAGCGTGCGTGGATTCCAAATTATTCAACTTGGAGAGAGTGTTGCATATTGAAATTACATGGTAGAAACCCACAAAACACCACGATTGCTTCAGATTCACGGGGATGGCAAAAATAGCTCTCAAAAAAACCTCTTCTCCTTAAATGCAGTAATGAAACAGACACAGGCTTTGGCTATGTTTAAACCAGAAAAATCTCTTTTTTTGAGGCAGGCTGGGTGGTTCTGGCTTTGGTTCCACCACCCTTCAGACACAGCTCAAAGAGAGGGGTGGTGTGGAAGTGATGCATCAGCAAGATGAAGCACAGAGGGTAAAGAGCTGTGACCATTTGGGGAATGACAAACTGAAAACATAAGTTCCAAAAGTGCAGCAAACTCTCAGAAGTGCTCAGTGCTGGTAGGATCCTATTAACTATCTCACATTTACCTTTCAGGAACACACCAGTTGTGGAAAATACTCCAGAATATCACCAAAAAGAGGATTGGGCAATTTCAAGTCTTTGATGAACCATCATTCCAGGTATTTTGATGTGCTTTCCTTTGCATAATGTTCCAAAAAACCTGCTGCTTTTTAGTAAGGATTCTGTGTTGCAATGAAAGAACAATCTGGCCACATTAAATACATCTCTAAGAAAAAAGTGCTTCCCTCAAAGAATCATAAAGGTAATTTTCTAAGAATCACAGGAAGGACTGTCTAATTTAGTACCAGAGGTGAGGGGTCAGTTCTCTCTAGCAGAGAGGGGATGGAGAGATGAAAACCCTAAATGTGGAAAAATCTTAGAGATAAACCCAAAAACTCGTAACTGCCGTCAGAAAAGAGTTGAAAAGAAAAGTGAGGGCTGTAGAAAGAGCTCACCTGTGAGGAATATTGAGTGTGGCACTGGAGCAGGGTCCTTTGCCCTTTCAGTCACTGATAATTGGAGATTAGCATCTAAAGTTTCTGTGTTTTCCCTCTTCAAGTTTGTAGTTGATTTGTTCTCATTCCTTCAGTGAAATATCCTGAAAAGCAGCACAAAAAGCAATAGGGTAAGACAGGTTCCCCAGATGTGGTGGGGAGTGCTCAATGGGTGTTTGTCTGCAAGAGGAAATGAGTGCCTGTGTGCTCTGCCACTGTGGGCTGTTTTATCGTGGCATAAAATCACAGTGATTCAGCAGTAGCCTGAGCAGCAGATACTCTGCACTGTCCTGTGCATAAGTCACAGGTGAGGCATCCTGGTCAGAACAATCTGCTACACTTCTCTGGGAAAGGGGAAAGGAATTAAAGAGAGAGCCAGATAAGGAGGAAAGAAATACTAATGATCTCTTCAGGGGCTGGGCTTTTTCCACTTCTTCTTTTAATGTGCATGCAGTGACAGCTCTGTGAGTAAAACACCAGAAGAATGTGCATGAGCTTCCACAGTGTACACGTTTCAAAACAATCTAATACCTGTTCTCTGTTGCATTCAGATGAGGTGGGTTTTTTCCTGGAAAGACCTAAGGCTTGAGTTTGCACATCTTAGGAAAAAACATTTCTGCAGTACTTCTGACACTGTACATCTGGCAGTGCTCTTCATGTCACCTGGGAGAAGAGGGCACAAGGTTTCCCACATCATCTCCTTTCTTGCCAACCCTTGAGGCTTCCAGGAGGGAGATATCTCTTTGTTCTCCACCTTAAAGAAAAAAAAAATCTGAATTAGTGGCTTTGGTTCAGTAGGGCATTTCAACACCTAGTTTAAAGCATCAGATGGGCTCCAGTGAGTACAGGAAGTGTGGGGGCAGTTAGAATGACACAAGCACATATGTAAATATTTCCCTGGATGAGGCTTCAAGTTGCATTTGGGAAAATGTGAAGTTATATAAAGAAAAGAACATATTAATTCCTTTTCTTTTTCTTTTTTTTTTTAACAGTATTTAACTGCATTTTTCTCAAAGTAGGGAAAGTAGTGTGAAACGCTGCACTAATATGGATAAAAATATATTAAATGGGTAGATTAAAGATTTGGAAATTAATTTCTCAGGAGACCTTTTCCAGTCTAGACTCTATTGACATATCCTGCCAATTTGTTTGTCTGGTCTCTCTGTGAACAGAACATTTGATACTGTAGGCAATGTGAAGATCTCTGATAAGCTTGCTGCTTCCTGCAGCACTCTGTGCTCACACTGAACTTCTTAAATACAACTTTCAGCTTCTCTGAAAGAACTTCCAGCTTCTCTCCATCACCCCCATTCTTTTCACCACGGGCTTTCTCCTTTTTGCACCTTGTGCCTTCATCCCATGGGGGACCATTCTCAGCTTCCACATCTCCTGTGAGGACGAGGATGTCTGAGCTCACCGTCTGCCTGCTGGATGCACACTGCTGAACTGGTAGGATTTGATTGTGATCTTGCTTCTTACCTGTCCTCACCCTTTGCTAGTTTGTATTTGGAGCTGCTGGAGGGAAAGGTGAACCTAAGGAACTAAAGGGGTTTCCAGCAGAAAGATTCCAGAAACGAATCTGATCTTCAGGGGGTGATGCTGACTCATTAGTGGGACTTCTTGCAGTGCCTTTACTGCTTCTTAGTTAAGCACACAATGCAGCTCTGTAATTAAGCTACAGGCATAAAAAGGGACAAAAGTCACATATGGATTTTTTTCTTGTTTTTAATTTTCTTTCTTGTAGTTATTACTGGGCCCACTACATGTGAAGAACAGTTGTGCTTGAATTTTACCATTATAGATTAATCTTTAAACTCATGGTGTTTCTTGACAATTATGTCTTTATTGCAAGTTAGATAAAGCACAAGTTTTTCTGAATGCCTTCTTTAGTCCATATATTTTGGTTTGAAAAAGTAAGGCAGGAATATTTGTAATTTAAACTTAAAAATTACCTGGGAATAGGAGAAATCTACTTGAAATTTAGGGAGACCAGGCCAGTCATCCACAAGACAAGCCATTTCTGTTTGGAAAAGTGTCTGTATATCCTCACCTGTAAGTAATGAATGAAGCTGAGTTCCAAGTCAATATCAGGCCTGCTTAGGTTGACTTTCTGTGAAGAACCTATTACAGGATCCCAGTAAACATCCATAGGACTACTTTAATTTTCATTATTCAAATAGACCAGCATTAAGAAACTCCCTACATGTGCTATCTCATCTCTATCCCTCAGCATCCCTGAAATGCTGTGTTCAGTCACCTGAGTATCCAAGAAATGAAGAGTAGCTGGAAAAAGCTCTGTATCTTGGTGCTGCAGAATCAACTGGCTGGTTCAAATTTATTAGGATTCACTTTTTTGTCACAGAGGCAATAAAGCATGATTCTAGCAGGCTCAGAGATCTGGCACTGGTCTGGCACTGGTCTCAAAACAAAACCTCAAAGCCCTGGAGAAAGGTATTCTTTTAGGAATATGTGTTTCTGTACCTTGATCTCACCAAGGGGTAGAAATGTTCATGTTTTCTTTAGCAAGGATGCAATGTGGCTTGCTAGGAACAACCTTTATGTATCCTTGTGTGCATCTAGCATTAACAAACTCTTCCCACCTTACAGATTTCCTCTGGGAAGTTTGCTTCTTCTGGCTAATAGCAAGTTCCCAGTAAAATCAGTTTGTACTACAGATGCAGAGGAGTCTTTGTCAGAAAGAAATTCCTCCCAAACCATGGATAATCATTATCCACTCTGAATTACCTAATTATCTTTTGGGGGTTTTATTTATTGTGTGGAAAAAGAAACAAGGAGTTTTCTTGCCAGCTCCCTCAGAAGTGGCCTAAATGCCCACTGTCTGAGAGAGATCACAGGCTCAGACCGCTGTCCCATTGTCCAGCTGGGTGCCTGCAATAGCCTGGCCCCATAAAACAGACATTTAGCTGAACAGAAGCAATTAGCCCTCCATCGTGGCCCCTGCTCACAATAGCAAAACCAGCTGATGTTCCCTTAACTTGAAACAATGGGAGGACAGGCATGGGCTGTGGAACTCTTAGAAGCACAGTAACTCCTTCCAGAGGGGGACCGTGAGAAAGTGGAGCCTGTAAAGAGCCTTTCAGTGGATGAACTCCTGAGCAGTCTTTTATCCGGTGAACTCATCAGTCAGCTGTCTGTGGGTGCAGCTCTCTTTAGAAAACCCCAGTTCAACTGCAACATGCCAGTTCGTAGTGATAAACCTTCGTGCTGAATGATATTCTGTCTCAGCACTGTGTTCACCCCAGTATGGATTTATTCAGCAGCATCTTTTCCCTGCAGCCCTGTTTCACATTCCTTACCGTGCCTGTTCCTCTTCCTAATGATCTGGGAATAGCAATGACCACCAATGAGAGCATGGCAAGAACTGAATGTTGCTCCTAACAATGGCAGTGAGGCTTCACTTAAGATTCAGATGCTGAGAAAATTCCAGCAAAGCTGGTGAGCTCAGAAATTCAGCCCTTCCATATGAATCCCGTAATTCACTTCCTTTTGCCTACTTTCTCCTCCACTTTTGCCACCACCCCTAATCACTGGATACCCAGAACTCAACTCCTGCAAGCAGTAAGGCTGTGTTCAATGACTGAGCTCTCTTTAAAGCTGTGTACAGCACTGTGCCCCTTCCCACCTGGAATGTTTTCCAAGCACCTTCAGGCAATATTTCATCACTTGCAAGGATGAAACTCCTTGAAAACACAAGGCCTTTGCTAGTGGCAAGGCAAAGATACCATTAACTTGGGGAAAACAGTCCACAATAAATAAAACCATCTATTTCATTCAGCATCTTTGGCCACAGTCCAGTGGTTTGGTTTCCAGCTGATGCTGTGAATTTTCTGTAGGCACACATTCCTTATGAGCATCTTTTCTCCTAAGCCTTGTGCCGAATTTTCCTGTAGTTTAGCAGAGTTTGGATACCACAGCTCCAGAGGTCTGACTCCTGCCTGGGCAGGCCAGCTGCAAATGGATATTCTGTTACTTTTGGAATCTCCTTCCTACAACCCTATCTAAAATCAAATTAATTATTTAGTGATTGAGTAAGACTTGTCAGTGAATATCACAGAACGGTTTGGCTTGGAAGGGATCTTTAAAGATCATCCTCCAAGATGTCCCACTTCTGCTGCTGTTACCATGGTCTGCAGTAAAACAACATTTCCTTTGCTCAGCCCCATTATGGATCTGTTTCCCCATCATGTCTACTCACTAAATCTTTTGCAAGAACTAACAGAGAAGCCATCCCAGTATAGAATACTGAGAGGACTGGTAGGACTTTGTGGTCACTGAAATGTAACTATGACATCTCCCCAGAAGTGCCACTGGAAGAATGAGGAGTGAAATGAAAGAAAAGCAGATGGTACCAGAGAGCTCCTACCCCTGGATTATCTGTCCATCCAGGGACCTGGGTAAAACAACCAAACTGATTTACTGGTTTTTATGGGCATTCTTCTCTTGCTCACCGATAGATGGGAGCAGAGATTTCTCTGCTCGTGAAATTTTCAGGCTACAGCACTTGCAGTTTTTTGTACACTGTGACTGCGAGGGGCAAAAAATAAAACCAAACGATGTCAATGTAGCTCATTCATATGTCCACAGGGAGAAGGATATTGTTTTGTTTAGTAACATACAGATGAGGTTTGTAATGGGAGTCAAATAGAAACCAGGAGTCAGCACTCTTGTATTCTTTAACATTGGAATTCTCTGGTTTGGTATCTAGAACTGGTCAGAGGGTATTGAATAAGTTTACAACCCCTCATTGTTATTTCCCAGATTGTAAGTGTGTTTTGCTTGCATCCAAGCCTTTACAAAAGCAATTAAATGTGTCCTAAACTTCCATTCATTTTTCTTACAAGATCAAAGAGGAGAAGCTGTCCAGATGTAAATAGCTAAACCTCTAATGAGATGATCAGTGAATTGTTTCTCTCTTGTGTTAGAAGCATTTAAATTACAATATTGCACTTAGGGCACTTGGCACTTCTGACTTATATAGCAGGATCCCAGCAGCTAACACAAGCCAGACAAATAACTCCAGCAATTGGCTTTCAGCATAGGTCCCTGCCCTCCGACCTCTGCTGTTCATCAGGGGTCACTCAAATGCTTTGTTAAACAATATTAATCAGGCCTGGCACTCCTCTAGGGCCGGGCACGTCACAAACAGTTTCTAACAGCAAGGTGCTGTTTGTAAGAAGCAAAATCTCATGTATTTCCTGCTCAACAGGAGCCTGACTGAGCCATACTGGAGCTGAAGCAAAGCCTGATCTGTGGAAACCTGGGAATGGCAGTGCAGCACCTGCTCAGGTGCCACCTGTGTGCCACTGTCAGGGCTCCTCCAAACTGCCAGCGAGGGAGAGGAGGATCAGTTTGCATAGCCTGAGGTTGGTCGGTTTGTTTGGGAGATTTTTTGTTAATTGCCTCTATCCCTGCATAAATATTTTGTGCCAGCATAATAGGAATATAAATTTAAGTATCCCTGGAGCTACCTATAAAGACAAGGGCCGGTGGAAGGGAGAATAAAGAAAATTTCTGTCCTGCCCAGCTGTGGGACATGGGCTGGTGTTTACAGCATGTCAGTACAAACTGGAGCTGGGCTCGGTGTGAGGTGCTGCCAGGGAGTACCAGTGATGTGTGCAGAGGTAGAACATGGTGCTGAGGCAGGAAGAGAGGATTTCCTCTCTGCTGCCCCTCCTCTGCACCTCACCCCACACAGGGGCCTTGGTTGGGCAGCAGTGGGATGTAACCAGGGAGATGCTTTGCCTGAGCTTCTGCCTGGTTCCCAGTCAAGCCCTTTATTCCTTATTTGTTCCTCTTTCACTGATATGCACTAGCATGTTCATAATTGAGAGCTGAAACTTCCAGAGACAAGCAGGAGGTAGGAGCCATCTGCAGGTTTCATGAGAGGCACCCAAGCTCCTGAAGAGAACCTAAAGAAAGTGTACTTACCTAAACTCATTCCATCTTCTTTCTGAAGAGATTTCTTCTTTATATTAAAAGTGAGTTCACTACCCTTCCAAGACATAGAAACCGTGATCTTGTCCCAGGGTGTGACATTGGCTTTGAGCATTTCTCAGCTTTTTTCATGTCATTTGCTTTTCTCAAGGGGAAAGATCTCTCCAGTTCCCTTTCATGCAAGGGTCTACAGTGATGATTTTTTTTTTTTTTAATTCTGGCACTAATCCTGCAGATACCACTACTCATAACAAAGGCAGCTGACTGTGTGCCAATTTTGGAAGTTACAAACTGATTTGTAGTTTGGGTGTGTTCCAAATTTATCAAAGCCATGCCTTCATTCTAGTAATAAGCTCCACTAAAACCCAAACTCCTCTACATAAAACCAACTTTTGACTTCCTAATTTAACAGTAACAGCAGCCTTTCTGAAATGACAGTTTCTGTTAGTGACGAGTTAAAAATTAAAATTCAAACCTTATCCTGCAAGAGGGAGCAGTTTCACACATTTTTAGACTGCTTATGGTAACATGGAGAAGGAGTACAAATCACTCCACAAAAATCAGATTAGGATGCCCTAGTGATTCAAAATTTAGGGATGCCAGTGCTCCCTACCTTGTGTGCCCCTTCTGATCTGGAAGCCAGCAAAAGCCCCTGTGAAACTCGAGTGCAGAGGCTCCAGGCCCAGCCTAGGCTTTGCACTCAGGGTATTGGGCTTTGACAGCCCCATGGCATTTTGGCTGTACATTATCAGCTCTTTTTGTTATTAGTTGTGGGCTTCAGATAACCGTGAGGAAAAACAATTTTAAGAGGAAACAGCACCTTGGGTACAGACCAAAACAGAAAACATTCAAAAAACCCAAATATTTCTTATTTCTTGTAATCACCTGTGTTACAGCAATCAAGTGTTGACTGCTGTTTGCTGACAGCTTGCTTTACAGGAAGAACAAAGGGAAAGAGACAGGAAGAGAGGGTTTTTCTGCATTTCTGATAAACCTGTAGTTATGTCCTTCAATGACACATTTGCCAACAGCAAAGAGTAAGAAAATATCTGCAGTCTGAAGTGTCTGGAAGCAAACTCACACATGCCTTCACTGTACTGCTTTTGTTTGCAGAACCTTTCATTCTGGATGAGTAGCAGGAGCAGGAAAGCATTTGAAGCTAGGAAAACCACCATACTGCTGTCTATAAAGCGCTGATAGGATTTTTATGTGGAGCCCTAAAGAGAATGACATGCTGTGCTTGTTTGTGTTTTTTTTTTCTTTTTGCCAAATTGGAGAGCTCAGATGTTTGCAAGCAAAACAAAATAAACGGAGGCATTGAAACTCCTTCCTGAAATGTGTCTGGTGGCTGATGCCATGGCACGTCCCCCAGCACATGCATTGTGCACCCTTGGGCTGTCCTGGGCCCTGCTGGGACACAGCTAATGGCACCCATGGCACAAAAGGGAAGGTAATTAGCAGAGAATGATTATTGCTGCAGCTAGAAAATAGACAAGTAATCTTTTGGGTTTCAGTCCATTGCCTCAGTGTTTTCAAACCAGCACCTAATCTTCCCAGACCCCACTCTGTAGCTGTTCCTTTCTTCCTTTCTTTTCTTTCTCCCCCTTTTTTGCAGGGACTGTGGCTGATTCTGATTCACTCCATTTCTTTCTTCTCAAACAGCCACAGGGCAGGCTGGCTGTTGCCAGGGATATGGCCAATGCATGTGACATCGTGCCACCAAAAACAATCCCGTTTATTTCTGCTGTGATGCTGCTGAAGTCGGCGCAGCCAGGCTGGGAGCAGGACACCTCAGTCAGCCACGAAATTTTGTGAGAAGAATTTTCCTTAAAGGAAGTGCTCTTAAAAAATAGCTCTCGGGGAGAAATGTGCAGGTTTTGCTCATAAAGTGGTTGTTGGCAAAGGTTTCCTTGCCAAAGTCCAGTCAGAGTATCAGTGAGGGATGGTAAACACATGCCAATTTGACAAGAAATTAGTAGGCTACGTAGCACTGTGGAAAATATTAGACTTTCTTCTTCCCCTGACCTCAAAGAGCCTGTTAGGAGATTAAGAATCTCCAGCTCTCAAAGGTATAGCTGTTTTACCAAAATTCAATTAATGAAGAATAATATTTTGGGAACAAGAGAAAACACCTCTCTAGCATGTGGAGTGCTAGGAATAGATGGAAAGTTGCCTGAATAAACAGTTCAGCAACTCTGGGATGAATTATAGGAGCATTTGTATGCATGATTGCCCATCTGTGTAAAACAAGACATGCAGTCACACACAGCAATGATGTGCAGGGCAGACCTGTGGGGATGTTATTAACTTGCTCCAGGACAAGAACTGTCCCATCACATCCAAGTGTGACCCAAGGAAGTTGAGATAAATCCGTATAAGTAAATAAATAGAGGAGGTGGCCTCAATGGGAGGAAACCCAAGGTATGCTATCTACATCTGTGTTTCTGGGTTTGGTGTTTATTTAGACTCAAGTCAGATTTTGGACTGTTACTTCTCCACTTGAAGTTTTTTTGGCAGTTCCAGAGGGGCTGAAGGCTCAGATCCAGAGGGTTCCTTCCAGCTGCACAGCCCAGCATGGGCCACGGGCACTGGCAGGGTCTGGGCAGCTGCAGGACTCCAAACCAGGGATGCTGTCAGGAGTTCTGCCTTGCACAGCTCCCCTCTCAACTACCAGCTGCAAAATGTCAACAGCACCTTCCTCAGAGAACACAATTAATTAAACGAGGCCTAATTAATTAGTGTCAGGAAAGCAGATGTAGCAATTATGGCAGAAGTAAACAAATGTACATATTGTGAATTGTTCTGCAAAGGATTTGTTCTGGAATCCCTGTAGCCCTTTCACTCCTCCCCACGATGCTATTGGGAAGGCCATCAGGGAAAATGTAGAGATAAACTGCAAATTGATGAGGAACTAATGTACTTTTATAAGTTTATATCTCAGGAAAACAATCAGCAGACAGACTCCTTTATTAACCTCTTGGGACTTGGGGGTGAAATACAATCCTGATATTTAATTTCCAGATCATGCAACATCGTGTGCCACAAATAAGTCAATTGTTTAAAGATTGTTTAATGTGGGTGTGAAAAAGCAAATGTGGAGCCACACCAGTCTGGTGTTTGAGTGGAGCCTTTAGACTTTATAAAGGATCTGCACTGAAGGAAATCTCTCATACCTTGTAGGTATGAGGATGCTCCAAGCTCAATGTAACAGACACTGGAATAGTGAAACACACTTGGAAAACTCAGATAGAAAAATTTCTGAGTTGCCTTTCAAATTTTCTTCAAGATGATAAAGAAGACAAATTAGGCTGGTTAGGGATGTAGCTGTAGAAGCAAATGGGACTGATGTACTGGAAGAAGCAGTCGAGATATTAAGAAACCAAGAGTACTGTGTGTCAAAGAAAATGCATTGCACAGCTGTGCCATGCTGAGGGGAACAGCCCCATAGGCAGCCAGGAACAGTCACTTTCTAGATCTCAACAGAGAGTTTTACCCTTCACTCCGTGCTCTTTTTTGCTCTGCAGGTAATGATGGCTTTGGTGCAGAGGATGGGAGCTGGGATGTACTTTAGGGTAGAGTCAGCTCACTAATTCATGCTGTGGAGAAGCTGTGAAGGTGGAAAATCCCCCTTGCCTTGGTGAAGAATTAAAGGATTAAGGTAGGCAGCAGCAGCCTGTGGCCGGGGTGCTGCAAGAGGGAAGTTGCAGTCAGAGGCCACTGCTCTTTCCTGCCTCTTTGTGGTTCCTCTTTTCCCCAGATGATACTGCTAAAGTCAGAAAGAGAGGCTTTCATGGCCCATGCCAGGATATGTCCTTTATTTGTTCAGGTGACAGCATTTCCTGTGCAAAGGACTGCCAAGTAATGAGCTGCTCATGAATGCTGCTCCAGGGCTGGGGGCTGCTCCCCACCATGGTGAGTGCATTGCCCTGCTCACGTGAGATATTTGTGGATTTTGGGTTCTGTATTATGGGCTTTGTGCTCATGTGAGTTTCTCCTTGCTTTCAAAAGCCAGGATTTAAAGGTGAATATCTCTGTTTTATGATGGTGCAGAGTTGCCAGCTTCCTGAAGGGAATGAATTTGGTTTCTGTTCACAAACATTGGCTTCTTTAGTGCTTGTCTCAAACAATTTTTGTTCCAGTGAGTAAATGAGCAGTGAAACAAGTAGTGAGAGGAGTGAAGGTACAAACAGAATTGTTAGAACAAAGTTTAAAAATCATTCTAACCAAACCTACCCACGGTAAGATGTTTGAGAAGAGGAGAGGCAGCCTGTTCCTGTGCCCAGCCACAGGATGGAGAATCTGTTCAGGCAGCTGACAAGGCAGATGGATAATTAGTGCCATGGGTTAGGACCTGGGCAGGCACTGCTGGTGACCTGGCAGTTGCTTTTGGCACTTTATTTGGAAATCTCTTCTCTTGCTTTTAGGTATTGGCAGAATAGCACGAGACCATCTTGCATTAGGGACTGGGGCAGCAACAAGAGTGCTTGACTTTTCTGAATCTTAAAAGGGAAACAAAACCTTTAAAAGAATGTTTGAAATCCCCCTTTTTAATTCTCTCTCGAAGTCTGAATTCTCCCCTTTTGAATGGGACACTGGGCTCTTTTTCTTCCTCTTCTCTCTCATAAAAAAATTACTTTTTTGTGTGCATTCTAATGCATTTTAGAGTTTTTACAAGACAGCTCTGCCAGCTTTCAGCTTCCAGCTACAGCTTCTATGATCTGAGCCCCTTTTCATGCAATGTAACTTTACATTAGTCAATGACAGGTTTTACACAAACAGAAGATATAAATAATATCCAGGGATTTAATGCACTAAAAGCCAACCAGCTCTCTGTAACACCCCATCCTATTACTGTACCTTGTTTTGTATTTTAGATAACACTTAAAGAGGTAGGGGGGTAATTAAGTAGTTGAATGAAATGATCTGATAACAAAGAACATTTTCTTGTTTGTGTAAAGTCATTGGTCAAATCATATGACCTCTACCTATGCAGGAATTCTGAGAGTGAGTCCAGCACCATAAGTGCATTCCAGAGCCCAGGCACATTTGTGAACCTTGTGCCAATAGATGTCCACGGGCATCACCTTTCCTGCCTCTTCCATTTGCCTGTCCTCATGCCACACCCACACAACGCTGCCAATGCCTTTCCAAATCCCTCTTTTTTTTCAGCAGTCACTGAATGACAAGCCAAAAGCAAATGGTATCAAATGTGGCCAGGCAGGGCAATGTCAAAACAAGGCCCAGCAGGGTGGTGTGGCTGCAGTCTTTGCTACCTGCCTACAGCTGAACAGGTTCCATCCTCATATCCTGTACATTCAGCTTAATTGGCCTGGCCCTTCCAAAGAGAGGCAGCAGCCCTGATTTACTGCACTGTATAAATGTGTTTATAGCTTGGCACCAGCACACTTAGGCTCACTATTTTCCAACATGGATTTCCAATAAGCCCTTTGCTCAAATGAGTCTATTAACTTTAAAGTGCCTGAAGGTGAAACTGAGTTATGAGAGGCAAGCTTTGGGGATTGAAGCCCAAAACAGCTGGGAAAGGCTCCTGGAGTCTTCTGTTAGTACCTGTTGTGGTTGATATTTATATGAAGGAAAAATAATGTAGAAAGTAAAAGCAAACCTGGGACACACATGGTCTCAGCCTGAGCTGCCTTTCACTTCAGCTGGCACTCAGACCCATCCCATTCCACAGGATTATTAGAGCAGCTCCTCATTTAAGCCAGTGTGCAATCAGAACATAACCCATTCCTTCCTCTCCTTACAAATGTAACTTCCAAGAGTCACATTTCCCTGTTTCTGCAGTGGGGCACCACAGCCTGGGGAGAAGCTCATGTGACCATGGCCCCTTTGGCAGTGAATTTCATGGCTCTGTTTGGTCCCTGGTGTTCTGCAGAGCTGGGACACACTTCCATCTCCTGTCTCAGCCTGGGGGATGCACAGAGCTGCTCCTGGAGCCTCTCAGTGCTGCCCTGCTCACTGCCAGAGGGGCTGGGATACTTCCATGTGGAACTCCAATTAATCATCCCTGCAGGGATGGGAAATCAGGCAGAAAGTTTTAGTGGACCCCTAAGTACAGTCCATAATTACCTGCCCAAACCTGCTCAAGGTTACATCTCTGCAGCTAAGGAATGAGACTGATTTCTAGTTGCTTATAGCTCAGCTTTATCTGGAATAAGAAAGGAACTCCTTAATACCCATGGAGGAAAAAAAGATTCATAGAGAACGGAATTAAATTAGGAAAAGTAGAATTTTGGATGAATGTCAGGGGTAAAACTGCCATAGTAACTTCTTCTAAACTGTGGAATGATCTCCCAGGGTGAGTGAGTGATGTAGCCCCACAGTGTGAAGAATTAAAGCAGCATCAGGCAAAGCCTCAGGAAATCAGTGTCTGAGGAGGCAGTGCAAGGACTGTGCCTGTGTGGGAATGTCCATTGTCCAAAAACTGAACCTGTTCTTGTCCTGTAAAATCTGTTGTATTGCTCAGGTAGGTGTGATCTGCAGAGCTTTAAATCCTGCTTGCATTTAAACTATTGGGACTCTTACAGGCTAATCCAGCAGCAAGCCCTCAGAGGACACTGGTGACTCTGGCTGATGCTCCCCTGTCCCATCCTCAGCACGTGATGCCTTTAAAATTCTTCAGACTTACATGAGGTAGAACATGGGTATTACTGGGCATTTCTGCTTTAAGAAAAAAGTCTCCTTTTGCTTTTACAGATTTTTATCCCAAGTTTTATAGGCTGATCCAATAAGTTTGGCTGCTCTGTCAGTTGGGAACTGCTCCCTTTCCACTTGTAACTTTTTGTGCCAATAGAAGGTTTGTGTGACAAGTGGAAAAAACCCCTGTGCACCAAGGTCAGGGTGAAGTGTCTCTCTCTCTGTGGAGATCAGCTTGCATTTCCTTGTTTCTGAATGACATCCATATGAAAGACCTGCAGACATAATGAGAGGATACAGTTTTTAATTAAAAAATATAATATGCTGTTATCACATTATTAAACAAATTGAATTTGTGATTTTTTGCAGAGTAGTCAAATTTAGGAAATAGTATTTTTTGGTGCAGTATTCTGCTGTGATGAGTAAATACTGGATTGCATAGACAGTCATTCAGAGTAAAGACAGTGGGATTAGATTAGATTAGACAGTGGGGGAAAATTCAAGAACTTGCTTTGTGTAGCACTCAGACACCTCACACTGTGTGAGATACATTACCATCCAAACCAAAGGTGTGGACACGTGCTAATCGTGACCCTTTAGCTCTTCTCTGGAAATTCTCGTTTGTGCATAAAATAAGAAACAGGAGCAGAGAAGCAGAGGGTGAGGAAATGCTCCCTCTCCTCTGTTTGTAAGTGTGGGAAGCTGAGTGGGAGCAGGGCTGGCTGGAGCTGACCTAGGGCTGTGCAAACAAATCCATCTCCTGTGGCTTGCCTCCCCCTGAACCAGGGAACAGAAGCTCTGCAGGTAAGCAGGATTGCTTCAAAGATACGTGGTGGCAATTCCAGTTCTCCTTTGTAACACAGAATATGTGGAGCCCCTGGATTTTGTCCAACCACTTAGACCAAGGCATTCAGTTGCCTGTCTTTAGCTCCCTGGCACCACTCATGGGGCAGTGCTGACACATTCTTCAAAGTCTCGTGGTTTGGGTCTGTTCAGGGGGAAAAAAAAGTGCCTCTTGCCACTCACCAGATATGCTGGAGGGCTCAAAAAATAGACATGGAAAAGCACTGGCCATGGCTGCTGTCCTGGCTCTTCACAGATGTTGGCTTTCCCATTCCTCCTGTTAAACTGCTGCTACTTCACAGTGCACTTCATCTTCTGGAATGAGGTTGGTGCCATTAGTCATCTGTATTTTTTCTGTATTTGTTGGGGTTTTATAGTCTGGAAGGATTATCCCCTATAATTTTTGATTTTACTGAACTGTTGGCTTCACTTGCATGGTAATTCCCTTCCAATATTTCCCATTGTGGCTCAGAATGGCTGGGGGAATGCAGCAGGTGGGAGAGCCAGGATCTCAGTGGAGCTCTGCAGCACAGGTTCACCTGAGGTGTCTGATCCAGCAAAACTCCACATCAGCCTGGGATACAAGAGAAATCATTGCAATGGAAATTGAATCTTTCATTTGCTCTTTGTATTTTCTGCCCTTGCTTTGGGTTTGTTTTCTCCTCTTTTCTTTCCCTGCAATAGTCAAGGCAGCATCTGGAAGTTTTATGAAACAAATGTTTCCCATTAAAAGCCCATCGCTGCCTGCCAGAAAGGAAAATGGCATCTTATTGAAAACAATATGTAATGGTTATTGCTGTCTTGTTGCAAGTTATGCCCTTGAAAAATGTTAGGGACTTATTTAGTAGCAACTGATGGTGAGGAAAAGCGCAACTAAAGAGAAAATTAACTGTTGCATTATCTTTT